AATGTGCAACATGTTTACATCAGGCAGGGAGGTTTCAACGTATTCACCTCAGGCAGAATGTGCAACATGTTTACATCAGGCAGGGAGGTTTCAACGTGTTCACCTCAGATAGAATGTGCAACATGTTTACATCAGGCAGGGAGGTTTCAACGTCTTCACCTCAGGCAGAATGTGCAACATGTTTACATCAGGCAGGGAGGTTTCAACGTGTTCACCTCAGATAGAATGTGCAACATGTTTACATCAGGCAGGGAGGTTTCAACGTCTTCACCTCAGGCAGAATGTGCAACATGTTTACATCAGGCAGGGAGGTTTCAACGTCTTCACCTCAGGCAGAATGTGCAACATGTTTACATCAGGCAGGGAGGTTTCAACGTCTTCACCTCAGGCAGAATGTGCAACATGTTTACATCAGGCAGGGAGGTTTCAACGTGTTCACCTCAGATAGAATGTGCAACATGTTTACATCAGGCAGGGAGGTTTCAACGTCTTCACCTCAGGCAGAATGTGCAACATGTTTACATCAGGCAGGGAGGTTTCAACGTCTTCACCTCAGGCAGAATGTGCAACATGTTTACATCAGGCAGGGAGGTTTCAACGTCTTCACCTCAGGCAGAATGTGCAACATGTTTACATCAGACAGGGAGGTTTCAACGTCTTCACCTCAGGCAGAATGTGCAACATGTTTACCTCAGGCAGGGAGGTTTCAACGTGTTCACCTCAGATAGAATGTGCAACATGTTTACATCAGGCAGGTAACCTAGCTTCAACATATTTACCTCAGACAGAATGTGCAACATATTTACCTCAGACAGGTAACGTGCAACATATTTACCTCAGACAGGTAACGTGCAACATATTTACCTCAGACAGGTAACCTAGCTTCAACATATTTACCTCAGACCGAATGTGCAACATATTTACCTCAGACCGAATGTGCAACATATTTACCTCAGACAGGTAACGTGCAACACATCTACTGCTGACTACTCTACTCTTTTCACTAGATCACTGCAAATGGGTCTTCTGTTCTTAAACCTATGGGTGCCGAGGTTTTTTCTGACGCACATTTTCCAAACATCGGAAAAGTGAAGGTTGTGCGAGAATTGCGCTCACGCGGCACTGGGTCTACCTCTGGCTATACAAATACGCAGAGATGGAGAATATTAAATTTTCTTTTTAATGGTGTAAATGTAACAGCAAATATTAAACCGATTATAAGAAAATACGCTTCTGAGTGTTGTCCGATAATTTATTCTGCGTTGAAAAACAGGAAATTTCTCCGCTTTTTATCGTACACCGATAAAAGTACTGTGCAACGATTTATTTTAATTTAGAAGCTTTACGTAAACTGTCAGCGAAAGAAATACTGCCAAATATCTGAACGACATAACTACATATCAAATGGAGTTATATGCGTACATAACGACATACATTCAATGCCAAAAATAGCCTGCCGTAAATGACGAAAACTGATTTTTCTCTATGACGTTAAAAGGCGACAGAGAGGTTACACACGTACAAAGAAAAGGGGGCATAGCTCCGCTATGCTTAGCACTAGTTTATTGTAACTCAGGTCAATTGGTGAGAATTAGCTGTGGGTAAGGACAATATATTTTCTTGGTGTTTTGTTCACGAGGAACCAAACTATTCCAACACAAATATCGATATTGAAACTGTACACGTTTAGTTATTTTAAAAAAAACATAAGAAATTATGAAATCGTACCTCATAAAAATGAGGTAATAGAGAAATGGATGGCCCTATCTAACCTATAACTTAGTCCTTAGATTCCAACATTCTCCTGATTGTGTAAGAGTAATTTGACTAATGTTGCACCATAATTAATGGAGCACTAGCCGTATCATCAAATGTAATGAAATACCACAAAAATAGCACCTTTCCTTTTGACGTCATGGGTGGTTTTATGTCTTTGATAACGTCGGAGAAAGGCGACACTGGTATTTTGATTAATATATATTTCCCCTAATTTTCGTTCATGGTATGGAAAATCTCGATGTGTAAAACGGAATTTGACGCTTTTTCGACACAACATTAAATGACTGCTTTCACCAAGTAAATAATATCTTGAATATGTAAACAATTAGATAGTTTGTCATGTATCTTAATTGGACAAGACACGCACCTGTCTGGCATCAATTTACGTAATGAAATTCCCAAAAGAATATTTCAAAACAACCAAAATTATATTCAATATTGGATATATATTTGTTCATGATTATGTTATTTTTTCTTACACAATAAAAGATGCAAAGAGGGCTCTTTTGATATAGAATTATCAGGATAATCGTATACGTTTGAACCAACGGGGTACCTGGCATGGGTTTTATTTTTATACATTTTACAATTCCTGGAGAAATAAAGTAAACTGTTTACTATCCTGTGATCACAATATTGAACAAATAATGTAACCATTGATTATATCTAATGCAAAACGAGAGGAATAATTCGTAAATTGTTTGTTACTAACGCGCACCTGGCGAATCGTTAGATATCACTGTTCTCTGTATCCAACGACATAAAAGACAAATCCAAGACCAAGACATTTCAGAAATGTGTGCATATATTTTACCGAAAAATATTTCCATTTTGTTAAAGTAATATATTCAGTTTTAGTTATAAAATAAAATGAAACGGCTATATTCATGGACATTGGTTATATGAACTTATAATATTGACTTATTACACATCCCAAGAAATACGTACATGCTGCAGTTACATTTACACTTCATCTTGTAACACTTGTCCAAAGGAAAGAAATATCGTATTTGACACTATAAATTTATCAATTCTTATGTAAACAATGTTCAAACAAACAGGAGATTATCAAAGGTTCGTTCATACATGTTGTGGCCTATATTTACGTATGATATCATTTTGAACACTGACAAATATCCAAAATGAAATTATTTGTATGAAAAAATCTATAAAAGATATGCAAAATCTACATCATTACTGAAACTGTAAACAGCATGGTACAATGATCGTGTGCACTCTCATTCAAGGACCTTCACCTCAAAGAAATTACCTAATCTGTTCAACAATGTTGACGTATGACATCACTACCGGTGACCGACTTTTATAAATGGCGTGTTCACTGTCATTAGAACGCGGGATTTTACGAGGGGACTTTCGTTGATTCAGGGTTCGCCCTAAGATATCTTCAAGTAAGAATGGATTGATTACATCATAGGAAAACGATACACACAATACATGGTGGTGAATTCAAAGTTGTGTAAATTAGGAGAATACAAACATTAATTACATTTATAAGGTGAGGTGAAATTGGGTTTAACGTCGCGTCCAAGATTATTGCACTTATATAGCGACGTGCATGCACGTGTATGTGTGTGTGTGGCTGCTTGTACTAGTCCGGACTGATGCCGATTTATAGTGCTAGCTCACTGAGATACCATGCCGCAGTTTAACATGAATACCCCACTCAGACACAGTATACTGACTCCGAGCCGACCAGTCCTTGTTTAAGCCCCTTAATGCCGAGCGCCAGACAGGGTAACAGCAAGTACAATCTTTTAACATCTTTTTGTATGACGCGGCCCGGGATCGAACCCTGGACCTTCCGCTACATTTCTAAGAAACACCTGATGTAATGATATAGCGAAAAGGGACGGGTACTTTATTATAGGGGAGAGGGGGCGACATTAAAGGTCGGATCACGTGAAAATTAGGCAGTGAAAGCGGTGGGGTGCTAAAATTTATGACAACTGTGGGGAGGGTATGTACCGTATTTCCCCTATTAGACGCCGGACCTCTAATAGAAGCCGGACCTCTAATAGAAGCCGGACCACTAATAGAAGCCGGACCTCTAATAGAAGCCGGACCTCTAATAGAAGCCGGACCTCTAATAGAAGCCGGACCACTAATAGAAGCCGGACCACTAATAGAAGCCGGACCTCTAATAGAAGCCGGACCTCTAATAGAAGCCGGACCACTAATAGAAGCCGGACCACTAATAGAAGCCGGGTCAATTGTTCAGTGCAAAAAATAGAAGCCGGACCTCTAATAGACGCCGGACCTCTAATAGAAGCCGGGTCAATTGTTCAGTGCAAAAAATAGAAGCCGGACCTCTAATAGACGCCGGACCTCTAATAGAAGCCGGACCTCTAATAGAAGCCGGGTCAATTGTTCAGTGCAAAAAATAGAAGCCGGGCCTCTAATAGACGCCGGGTCGATCAATTGATACAATTAATTATCCCTTTTTCGGACCTAAATAACATAATGATTCGGGACATTCGTGGTCATAGTGAAATGGGGGTATTAATAGAAGCCGGGCCTCCAATAGACGCCGGGCCTCTAGTTGACGCCGGCCAAAGGCTTGTCCGAAATAAACAGAAGCCCGGGCGTCTAATAGAGGAAATACGGTACGTCGATCCGTGCGAAAACATGACAGTTCTATTTTTTCAAATAATTAAGTTATAGATTTGAACATAATTTAGGAAATAGTCATTTATTATAGGGAGGGTGCTGAAAAAGATGTTATAGATAAAACTATACGCAGAAAAATATATGTTATAGTCCAATGGCCAATCTCACCGACACCCACTATTCGATAAATGACCAGTCCAAAAGGTAAAAGTACGTTTGGCAGCCGCCTGATGCGTACATAAAATCTCTGTGACATAGACCTAGCCGGTGCTGGTCGACGTGACCTTCACATGTGAGAATATCTGACGCGGTAAGCCGAAAACAACCGAAATTTTCCGAAATTTAAAAAGGACCTCTCTCATTGGTCATTATAGTGTTGAAGATAGTCAATGAGCCACAGAGAAGCATTCTCTCCGACGAAGTGGGAAAAACCCGCTTCAGATGCAAACTGCACAGGAAAGAAGAACGCACACTCCCTCGTCACAGAGTGGATCGGTTTGTTCACCTCTGTTTGAAAACTACAATCAGTACAATCAAGTGTCAAGTAAGTACTTAGCAGGCTGCAGCGCATTGCCCGGGTGTGAGTGAGCAGTAGTGCATTTTATCGGGCGCACTTTTCCATATCTGATTAGAGCTGTGGGGGCTCGAACGCTCCTCGCCGGCTGAACCGCATTCATTAGCCGACGCTCTACCACTGGACCACGAGCGCATGCAATTTGTGCTCGTTTAACGGGTCAGCTAACCCCATCAACACGCATGCGTAATTCAGTAAACTATGAATTGCTCATGCGTGTGACGTGACGGTCCACTCTCCAATCATATTTTCTTGAAACCACACCCGCCATTGTTTATGTCAACATGACCGACCAATCGGATTAACCGGATACCGCTTGAAAGGGTAAGAATTTATGGCTAACCCTTGCCCTAAGCAAGCTAACACCAAGGACCGAAAAGGGTTGTTGGATCGTGAAGCGAGACGTGGGGCGTGGGGCGTGAGGCACGGTAACGGTATAGCGAGACAGCGGTCGCACTATAGCGCGGTAATTGAACGGATGGTAGAGCTCGTTGCCGCAAACTCATTTCAAAAGTGTGGTGTAGGTAATTTTTATACAAAAAACAAAACAAAAAAAGCCTCAGAGATTTTTTTACTTTTTACTTGTCCTAAAAACTAGATCTAGGTATTAAAACATATTCTGGCGTAACAAAATTAAAACAACTAAATTTTTCAAGAACATTTTATCATATCCCTGGCACTCAGCTTGTGCACAAATGGCAGCATAACAATATTCATGTCATGGGTGGAAATGCATGATGGACGCTGCTATCTTGTGTGATAGATGAAGCCAACATTTATCACAGAAATTATCTGCTTGTAAAACATCTTTGCTACTACATGTTTGGCCATACACTATTTGAAAGGTCCAATTAATCCTATTGTTTATAAAGATGAGAGTTATGTGATATGAATGATATGACAAGTAGGTTAATCAAATTATAAACTATTTTGACGTGACTTGGATGGTATACCTTGCGGTGTCTGGTGATCGACTCTTGGCTTCTTGGCCGTTGTACCGGCCAACAGTGTTGAAAGAGTTAAACTGGTCACCACTGTGCTTTGGGTTGACAAGCTTTGATGGTATTAGAAAAGGATTTATCCCAGCGAGAAATATCAGAGTGACTTCCCTTTGCTTTACACTCGACGAAAATGAAATCTTATTTTTTTTAACTTTTTGGCGAAAACATCGGCAGTAATAAAAAAAAGGGTAATTTTCATATTATTTTTTTTAACATTTGGACTTTGTAAGAGCGGCAAATCCGTAAACCGAGAAATAAAAAAAAATCACATATGAATTAAACGGCGACCAGAAGGAACCTAGGAGATACGTAGATCCTTCTCTGTTGCAGCCCTCACGCTATGGAAGTCATTTTCACTCTCCAGAAAATAGGCTGACCGCTTCTGAAAAGACCGCCTCCAGGGTCTAGTGGTGGAGTGTCCACCCGGAGAGCGGAAGGTCCAGGTTTCGATCCCCGGCCGCGTCATACCAAAAGACGTTAAAAGATGGTACTTCTTGTTACCCTGTCTGGCGCTTGGCATTAAGGGGCTAAAACAAGGACTGGTCGGCTCGGAGTCAGTATACTGCGTCTGAGTGGGGTATTCATGTTAAACTGCGGCATGGTATCTCAGTGAGCTAGCACTATAAATCGGCATCAGTCCGGATTAGTACAAGCAGCCGCACACAGACACGTGCATGCACGTCGCTATATAAGTGCAATAATCTTGCACGCGACGTTAAACCCAATTTCACCTCACCTCACCTCACTTCTGTAAATGAATTGTTTGATAGGCATCACTTAGAAGTTGACGGATGACAAAGTACGGGTAGACACAATTTATGGATAACAACTTCTTTAAAGGGACACTGATCTAGAGCAATTCCCCGGGACTGGTTGTTGCCTTTGTTATTGTTTTTTCCCCGTGAGTACGCAGATGGTATAGGATCGGAGAAACAGAGCTCCAGATAAGCTGCGTATCTGCCTAAAATACGCATCAGAAATGCAGAAATACACACTAAAATAAAAGCCAAGCGTATCAAATACGCAACGAACATTACAGATACGCTACAAAAATAAAACTTGTGCGTATCATCAAAATATTGTGAAGTAACCCTGCGTATCCGATTAGAAAATCAGCTACTTATTTTGAAATTATAAACGGGCATTCTGTCAACCTTGTTAAACTCCACGATGACAGTTACATCATGATCATTTGCCATCACACTTTCTTGTGGAAGTATCGTGGTATTTTTGAGTCCTATAAAGCTCTCGAACCCACACGACACCAGTTTGCAGGGACTAGATGAATTGTGTTTTTAAATATTTAACTTAAATACCCACAGAAATTTGAAATACCCAGATAGAATTACTGATACCCAATGATTTTAAAATGCATGGGTAAAATACCCACAACACCAAAAGCTTATCTGGAGCTCTGGAGAAATCTAGGTCTGTTCGTGACCTGTGCCATTTGTAAGCGCATTAGTCACTATTATTGATAGTATAAGTGCGTATGGTCACATTGATCAACAAAATGAAATACAGTTTTGGAAATGATAAGGATATGTAGGTATCTTTGTTGTGAGCTTTGGTAATGGTGACAAAGTTTTGATAAGTCACTTGCTTGGTAATTGTGCAGTTTTCGTTTAGATTATTTTGACTTGCAACACAAAGTAAATATTTCACCTTAGCATTGCTTATTTTATCGTGTGTATATTTTTACAGTCAAAATGTGTAAAGTTTTCACTAAGGAAATTTACTAAACACCTGAATATTCAGTTATTTTACAAAATGACTGAAAAATATGTCTATCTGCATTATTATGATAACGAATTCCAAACATTTTTACGTTTGGTCACTTTTATTTATCAGAACAGAAATGGCAGTTGTATACAACATGCTTATCAGTAGTTTTAATGAGCTGCCACATGTAAACATGGTAAATTCATTGCGGTCATTCACAATTGTTTCATGTGTATACGGATAATTTCTTTGTCCGGTCATGCGGGGACACAGGTGGCCCAGTCATCTAAGGCTCTGTGATTCGCTGTGCAGAGTTACGTCCCTTTGGCACGCCGGAAACCTTTGATTGTGGGTTTGAATCTCGGTTAGCCTAGATTATGTTTCTAGGTTTGTCAGCACCATACCCCTGCTTGTGGGATTCACCGAAGTGGTAAACATCTGAGACCTGCATCACTTCAGGCTTTCCTCCCATATTAAGCTGACACGCTGTGATATAACTGGAATACTGTTAAAAGCAGCGTTAAACCCAACTCACTCACTCGTCCGGTCACAGTCATCATGGTCATAGTCAATATCTTCATGTGACCCGTGAAAATTCCGGTTAGAATAGGTCTTCAGGCACCCAAGCTTGCCGTAAAAGGTGACTATGCTTGTCGTAAAAGGCGACTAACAGGATCGGTAGGTCAGGCTCGCTGACTTGGTTGATGCATGTCATCGATTCCAATTGCGTGGATCGATGTCCTAGATATCAATCACTGGATTGTCTGGTCCATGGGAACTCGATTATTTACAGACCGCCGTCATATAGCTGGAATATTGCTGTGTGCGGCGTTAAACAACAAACCAACAAACCAACCGTGTTAGAGTATGTCCCCAGCAACCTATGCCAGTCAAGAAAATCGAAATTTTAAATGAGTTATCGGTTACTTGGTTGAAAGGGTGTCACCGTATGCAGACGAAGTTGCTCACAATTTCAATCACTGGATTGTCTGTTCCAGACTTGATTATTTATAGAACGCCGTCATATAGCTGGAATATTGCTGAGTGCGGTGTTAAACAGCCAACCAAACCAAACCTCATGTGACATGGCTAAGTGTAGGGCACATATTGAAATACTATTTTCAGTTCATATCATCATAATTATAATACGCACTTAAACCTCGAGGGGGCACGGGTGGCCCAGTCGTCTAAGGCGCCGCGATTCGCTGTGCAGAGTTGCGTCCCCTGGACACGCCAGAAACCTATGATTGTGGGTTCGAGTCCTGGTTCGCCCCGATTATGTTTCTAGGTTTGTAAGCACCATACCCGTGCTCGTGGGTTTCACCGAAGTGGTAAACGTCTGAGACCTGCATCACTTGGGGCTTTCCTCCCACATTAAGCTGTCACGCTGTGATATAACTGGAATAATGTCAAAAGCGGCGTTAAACCCAACTCACTCACTCACTCACTCACTCTTAAACCTTGCATCAATAATTCGTCCTGAAACCTGGCTCATTTATTCGACACCCACTGTTTTGTTGTCTTAATTTATCTTACAATCGAACCTAACTTGGGCAGATGTTACTTATGAATATGGAAAGGGTTTGTTGCTTACTTTCGAGGGAAGAGGTGGCCAGTTGATGATGGTGCCACAATGCGATGTACATATTTGCATTCTTTAGTCATGCGCCCATGAAGATCCGGGTTAGAATAGGCCATGAGTAACCCATGCTTGTCGTAAAAGGTGACTATGCTTGTAGTAATCTTTAAGAGGTGACTAATGGGATCGGGTTGTCAGGCTCGCTGACTTGGTTGATGCATGTCATCGTTTCCCAATTGCATGGATCGATGCTCATGATGTCAATCACTGGATTGTCTGGTCCAGACTCGATTATTTACAGACCGCCGTCATATAGCTGGAATATTGCTGAGTGCTGCGTTAAACAACAAACCATCAAAAGATATGTGAGAATTGTACATGCTCTATGTAAGTGCTTTCGTTGAAGGCACCTTTACAATAAACAGTTGTGAAGTCAAAATATAACTATGAGTATGAGCAAAGACAGGATGTGGTACACGAAGAGAGAAATCCTTTCAACATGATATTTAATAACGTATACCAACCAGGAGGCGACTAACGGGGTCGGGTGGTCAGGCTCGCTGACTTGGTTGATGCATGTCATTGTTTCCCAATTGCATGGATTGATGCTCATGATATCAATCACTGGATTGTCTTGTCCAGACTCGATTATTTACAGACTATCGTCATATAGCTGGAATATTGCTGAGTGCGGCGTTAAACAAACAAACCAAACCAAAACCAACCAAGACCAGGGACCTGTTCCCCAAAGCGATCTTAGCGCAAAGATAATCATACTCCCATACTTTAACAAAGATTTACGACAGTCATAACCTTAAGTTGCTAAACAGAACCCAGTCCGCATTGTTTATGGTACAATTATTAAAAAATCATCTTTGTGTCAGGAAAAATGTTGGTCCCTTTAGGGTACTCCAGACGGAATATATACCGTGTTCGACGTAATAACCACCCCGCTCTAATAAGCGCCCATGGCGATATTTCTTAATATAAACAGCACCTCTTTCCGATTGATCAATTTACAAAAGATTTATTCATTCGCGTATAATACACACTTGTGTGTTATATGCATCCTGAATTATGGGCAATTAAATTCTGGAAAAATATATATGTCGTATATAAATATTTCAGGCTGTCAGCATTAACCACGAAATTTATCTTTCAACTCTGTTTTTTCCACCAAAATATTATTTTAATAAGAGCCTCCTATTTCTAATTTTGAGAGCACCCTGGGCGCTTATTACGTTGAATACGGTAATTGACTATTTCATGTATTTTAGCAGCCCAGCGTATCAGTGGAATATTCATTGAAGACACTTTTATAATAAATAATTATAAATTTGGACTATAAATGAAAGGAATGACCAGAAACAGTATGTGGTGGACTAAGTGAGATTCACTTCTAATATGTTCAATGTAGTAAAAGGTAGGACCAGTCCTACAATTATTGATAAATGGTCTTTGTTTCAGGAAACATGTCAAGCGATAATCCCTTTCGGATACTCCAGTCGGAATATACATTCCTGAAAGATAACCTAGAACTAAAAGATACGAAACTCATAGACCATCTTTTTGAGAAGAAAGTACTCACCCCAGGACAAATGGAAGATTTGGGAGGTGTTTCACTAAACAGCAAGAAAATTGAAAAACTTGTTACCTTGTTGATGAAAAGGCCGCCTTGTGATTTCAAACACTTCATGGACGGACTTGAAGGGGAACAAGATCACATTAAGGATCATATTCAAGAACGCTTGGAGAAGGGTAAGTAGCCTGTCTATATAATTAAAGGCGACAAAATCATTTTCATAACCATTTAAAATGTCTGCCAAAATCTGTGTCTGTTGTAAAATTCCAACCATATCTAAGTCTATACAGAAAGTAGACGACCTCAACCATCATAAAATAACATATTTGGTTGACATGCAGTCTATTTGTTTGAATGCTATGTAATTATTTACCAGTCATTATATATTATAGAGCTCCAGATAACATTTTGAGCAATTGAGTTTTTACTCAAAGGTTTCTATTTTAATTGGGTTATTCCATTTTTCGTTGAAAATAACCAATTATTTTTCACTCATCTATTCATTACACTATTGGGGTTTTCCCAAAATGAGTAAACATTTTGAGATTTAAAAATAATTAATGTTTTAGATGTATATAACGGTTCTAACTATAGGCTTAACTTGGAAAGTAAATTAGCTCGTAATTGTGCTTCGGAAATTAGCTCCATTGTACGCATGCTGAAAAAGCTTTTGTGGGTCTTAACGCATGCTGTTTTTATACATTTGAGTTTTTCATTTAACATGTTTAATGCATGCGTTTCTGTACACAATTGAATGGAAAGTAAATGGGTTTTGAACTTTTTGGGGGGGAGGGGTATTTTACGCAAATACGCAGCTTATCTGTAGCTCTGAATTTTTTTTATAGCATCTTCCGAGGAAAACATTATTACTGACACAGAAATGACAGAAGACCATGAATCTATGGACCAGGACACTGATAAAGACAGTGAGTGTGACACAGATGAAGAGGAAAGCTCTGGCAGTGAGGGCGACAGTGAGGAAGCCAGCGGTCAACCAGTGAGTCCAGTTTAATCCATTGCTTCCCAACTGCAGTACATACACTCCACAGACCCGTGAAGATCCGGGGTAGAATAGGTCTTCAGCAACCCATGCTTGCCTCCCCCCATGAAGATCCGGGGTACAATAGGTCTTCAGCAACCCATTCTTGCCATAAAAGGCAACTATGCTTGTCGTAAGAGGCGACTTAGGGATCGGGGTGGTCAGGCTCCCTGACTTGGTTGATGCATGTCATTGATCCCAATTGTGTGGATCGATGCTCATGATGTCAATCACTGGATTTTCTGGTTCAGACTTGATTATTTACAGACCGCCATCATATAGCTGGAATATTGCTGGGTGTGGCGTTAAACAACAAACCACCACCACCACATACACTCCATCCAACACCTTTCTGCTATGCATATAGTAAAGTGCTTTACATTTTCCACTTGCAACCTGTAAACTGTTTTCAATTGTCAGTGAAATTAATACAAGTTGCAAGATGAAACATGGAAACAGAATGTATGACGCATGCAAAAACAAAATCACTTTGCAGCGGTAATGTAAGGGAACATTTCTTTAGCCCATGAAACTTGTGATAAGATGTTCAGCCTATTTCGATTCGATATGCCAGAGGTAATCTAAAGATACCAAGTCACAGGGTTAGAAACTAACAGTTTTTGTCCACTAGCCCTTACAATGATAACATATAGCAAAACCCTTAAAGTGGGCCAATTTCAACTAGTCCTTAGGATACCTTTACTATTGGGCAGTTTGGTAAGGACTACAGGACTAGTGCCAGTTTCTAACCCTGCAAGACGGCTCCAGAAAAACTACAACTAGCAGTGAATGTGTCAGTAGAAGAGAGGGACAAAACATATATTGAAAACAGTATTTTACAAATCATTTTCACACAATATGTGATATTTCAGATAATTTGAATGACATTTTTCACACCCTCAGCTGAAGCGGATAAAGGATTTCAAGATGGCCCCCGATGAGCAGAATGTGACCTTACATGTCAAGGTCATGAAGATGGAACAAGTGGAGGAAAAGTCGAACCAGAAACAGTTCATGGCCGTTGTGGCCGATGCTACCTCAGCTGTCGATATTTGTGTGAGAAACGAAACACTCTTTGATAAGTTCCAGCTGAAAGCCTGCATTATTCTGAGAAATGTGACCTGGACCGGGAAGGTTTTACTCACAAAGGACTGCTCCACAGCAACCTTTGCCTCGGAGATTCTGGTGCCAGAAAATATGACTGCCATTGCATTTGGGGAAGGAGAACCAGTGCCAATATCCCAGGCCCTTACTCTGCCTGATATGAGCTGGTTTACTTTGAGAGGGAAGGTAGTAAAGGTTGGTGGACCTTTCGGAGGTTTTTATTGTAATATACCATATTCGACGTAATAAGCGCCAAGGGCGCTCTCAAAATTAGAAATAGGGGGGCTCTTAACAGAAGATTATTTTGGTGAAAAAATAAATTTGAGTTGAAAGATACATTTCGTGGTTTATGCTGTCAGCCTGAAATGTTTATATACGCGTATTATGCGCGAATAAATAAGGCTTTTGTACATTGATCAATATATTGACCAATATATTAGCAAATATTACCGTGTGCGCTAATTAGAGCGGGGCACTTATTACATCAAATATATCATGTAAAGCAGAGATCTTGCAATATTAGCAGCCCCGTGAAACCGGACAACTTTGAAGTTTTGTTGGAATTTTAGAGATTATTCTCTATTTTTTTAACCGATTTGCTATTTTATTTTGTTTATTAATTGTTTGTATTAGAAACGTTGTTCAGAAGTTTGTATTGCAGTCTGTCATATTTGTTAAGTTATATTGCAAATGTCTGGTGCATCAGCATATCGTTACATCTCTAGAATTGAGGCATATTATATTTGACCAAATGTGTTGCAAGGAGTGATATATTTTGTCACTTTATAACCCAAGAACTCTTTTTGTCAAAGTCTGCATCACTGATCAGACAGTTATTATTATAGCCGTCATAATATTAAGTTTTATGTAGTTTGTTTCACTAAAACAGAAATATTTATTGCACAGAACACATTGTGTCTTGCAGCATCAATTGTCTGTAAATATCTGTTCAAGCAATCGCCTCTCACAAGACGGAAGTTCTTTAAAAAGGTGTTGTTGTATCGCCAAGTCAAGCTGAAGGACGACACTGGCTCCGTCTATGTGGACACCTGGGCCAACATTGCAGAGGACATGAAGTTGGGCAGGGTTATCCAGCTCGACTCCTGCAAGAAGCGACGACCGCCGAGTCCTGATGACCCACTGGTAACCACAACGGTGAAGTCTTCTGTGAAGGTAACCGTCTGGGATTTGGTGGTATATAAACAAGAACAGAGTCCCATTTGTCCGATCACTTTACTTAAGAGAATCAGCGTGAAATGACAAAAACCAAACAAGTATTGGACAGGTTGAAACACAGGCTTGTTTGTAATTATATCTGGTTCCGGTTCTGATTGCGCATGTGCACTGGTACAAGGGACCGTCTATTACACAGGGGTGCGTATAGTACGTTCTCTGGTAAAGTGGTCAAATGTCATGATATTTTGCATCCTATAGGCAACACAGTTAAAGAGACACAGAGTGCATCACATTGCCATTAGCCGTTAAACTGAGTCAGTTTGTCTAAAGTTAATGGCTTGTTAGGGAGGTACTTGTATTTGATCATTCTTCAGGCCAGTAAACATTTCAGGTTAAGTTCCATGTTGCAGCATATGTTTTATTATCCTCCACCACGAGTGAGTGAGTGAGTGAGTATGGATTTACGCCGCTTTTAGCAATATTCCAGCAATATCACAGCGGGGGACACCAGAAATGGGCTTCACACATTGTACCCATGTCGGGAATCGAACCCGGGTCTTCGGCGTGACGAGCAAACGCTTTAACCACTAGGCTACCCGACCGCCCCCTCCACCACGAAGTTGAAGAGGGATATTGGAATGGGTGCTGTCCGTCCGTCCTCCTGTCTTGCCATCCGTCATGTTTCATTTCCGAAGCAGAACTCAAAAACCATGAGCTGTATCTTAACCAAACTTGGCACACAGATAGGTCTAGTGATGAACTGGTGCCTTTTGATAGTTTGGGAATTTAAAAAAAATTACGATGCCATGTGCTTCTACCTCATTGCCATGTGCATTTCTGTGAGCATTGGCCATGCCTCCATTGTAAAACTATTAACTATCAATTGTTTGATAGGCATTACTTAGAAGTTGACGGGTGACAAAGTAGGGACAATGTATGGATAACTTCTGTAATTACAGTAAAGGCGACGTTTTGGTATAGATCCTGATACCGTTGTGTCTTGCTTGACAACGGTATAAGGATCTATACCGAAACATCGCCTTTACTGTAATTAAATTAGTTCTTATCCATAAATTGTACCCACTTTATTAACAATTAGGAGAAAAAAAAGACTATGTTCAATATATAAACTGTTGCATGGACATTGATACGAAGGCTGGTCAAAAAGTTCTAAGCCTTACAAACAAACCCCAAAATTGTGAAAGTTTTTTTTTATTTTTCAACATAATCCCCCTGCTTTTCAATACACTTCTCATATCGATAGTGAAGCTTTTGAATTCCAGTCAGGAAGACGTTTTCTGAAGCCACCCTTAAAAACCCATTCACGGCAGCTTTGCGGTCATCGTTGTCGCCTTAGCGCTTTCCACAAAGGTGTTCTTTTAGTTTAGGAAACAGGTGGTAATCACTTTGTGCCAGGTCCGGGGAGTATGGAGGGTGAGGAAGCTCTTCAAACCAACACAGCAGCCTTTGCAAGTCGAGAGGTGTGAGAAGAGACATTGTCATGAAGGAGTAGAACTCCAGCTGTCAGCATTCCTCAATGCTTTTCTTTGATAGAATCTCTCAGGCGATTATGCAAATGAGCATCGTAGGCATCGGTTACCGTCTTTTAAGTTTCTAAGTAATGAACAAGGATCACACCCTTTGCATCCCAGAATACTGTGGCCATAATTTCTTCACTGATCTTGAAGACTTGAATTTCTGTGGTGCCAGATATGTGGAATGGTGCCATTCCATAGATTGATGTTTTGACTCGGGATCATAGTGGTAGACCTATGTTTCATCACCCTTTACTTATCTCTTTTTGAATTTGACAAAATCCTCCTCATTTAGTTCTAAATTTTCTCTGGCAATGTCAGTTCTTTTCTCCTTAAGATCAGAATTTAGAAACTTTGGCACCAACTAGCAGATATGTGTAAATGTTAATGAATAATAGTTTCAATGGATCCATGGTTTAGACCTGTGTCTTCCTCAAGTTCAGCAATGGCAATACATCTTTTTGACCAGCCCTTGTAAATGGAGAATCTGTTGATGATGGTCTTTAAATACCTTTTCGATATAAGGTTTCAATGCACATGATGGCCTTTATTCATAATTTAATTGATTTTGTGGTTAACAAGCTTTAGTTTTGGAAGGTCAAAATAAAATACCACAATGTCATGTTTTTGCAAATGGCGAACGAAATAACTTGCCGTTTCAGTTGTTTATTTGCCTCTTTCAATAAAGGTAGATTCTTGTTTAAAGTGTATCCCGTGGATAAGCCGACCCCTTTCTACGGAATCTCTTTTCTGGTCCTCAAAATTTGGCATATCTGCGGACATATACGTTACATGTGTGACTGACCAGTTTTTATTTTGTTGGTTTGAATTTCTAGATTTGTTATTTGGACGATGTTAACTGTCTGTATAAAAACTCATCCTTATCTCATTTCATATGACCAGTTTTAGCACATGAGCTGCCATGTATTATTGAACAATCTGTTATTTGTATTTCCAGTATCCACGCTCCTCAGAACTTAAACATATCCCGAAGGATCAATATGAAAAAGGAAACCTATTGGGAATCGACATCTCTCTTTACATGTCCTGTCCAAACCCTAGATGTTTCCATTTCCAACTAACTGACATGCTTTGTGAGTCTTGTCTGCGCATGATTCCTGTCCTGGACCAGGTGAGCTATGCGAAGGCCATCGTTGACATCCGGACGCCTAAGGGAAACATTCACTCACTGATCGTCTACTGGCCGGAACTCTGCCAGCTGTTCCGATTGTTTAAGAAGAAAACCCCTCCAGAAGGTAGTAAGGAGAAGATTGTTGAGGCATTTAAGGATCTGGGGAACAAGACTGTCAAGTACAAGGCATGTGGGGCTGTCAGCAAGTTTAAACTGTAGACAGACAAGGGGTGGTCGGGTAGCCTAGTGGTTAAAACGTTCGCTCGTCACGCCGAAGACCCGGGTTCGATTCCCGACATGGGTACAATGTGTGAAGCCCATTTATGGTGTCCCCCGCCGTGATATTGCTGGAATATTGCTAAAAGCGGCGTAAAACCATACTCACTCACTCACTCACTCACTGTAGACAGACAGACAGACAGACAGAAATACAGCCCTGGGTGTGTCAGATGGGGGCAGATATGTGACTTTTTTATCTGTTGTATAGGTCAATGACCTTGCAGGCAAGATGTAAAATGGTGCTTTGAATCATGGCGATGATGAATTATTGCATGCTGCTGTATTTGTCATGTAGTTAATTATGATGGTGTTTTTCTTTTTATCTCAATGCACCAAAAATAAAGACATCCCATGCTTTTGTTGGGCTCTTTTGATAAGGCTTAAAAAATAAAAGAATTGGTTCTCAGCCAATGGTTTTTGAAAATATAGTTCTGGCGGGCGGTCGGTGTCTTTATTTTATTTTTTTGGTTGTACAAAATAGTATGTAATCAATAAAAAAGTTTGTGTACAATCAACCTGGGAAAGGGCATCCCTACATAAATGTATTCCTTGATGAGTAAAATACTGGAATACAAGTTGGACTTGGAATATTTAAGGATTTTTTATATATATTTAAAAAAAATTGAAATAAAAACGAAATGTGCGGCAAACTTTATGATGAAGTGGTGGTGCCTGAGAACCAAGACTATAGTATTATTTCTTTTAGCCTAACTTTCCAAAGTTCATCCCCATAAGCAGGCCTGAACTCTATCGATCTTTGATGTTCATTTCATAATATGATGGGTTGGTCGACAAGTTCTGAATCTCGCACAGAAGGAATTTCGTAATAGTGAAATCATATGCTGTGTACGTGATGTCATTTAGGTACTAGTATATCCACATAAACTTGAGCCAATTGAAAAAACTGTTTCGCTGTAGGGCAGATTTCATTTGTCCTAACTGGAAATAGTCACTGGGGGCTAAGTCTGGGCTGTAGGGTGGGTGATTTAACTGTTCGAACCCAGACTTAGTCCCCAGTGACTATTTACTGTTCCGGCAAATGAAATCTGCCTTAGGTGGAAGACGCTTCCAGGATGACGAGGACATAAAGGGTGCCACAAATAATTCCTGGAGACATATTAGACTCTTACTAGTGACTTCATTGTGGAAGTGTTGGATGACTCAGACGAAGACATTCTCTTCATTAAACTGTCATCACGAAAGAATACTGATTTCAACTTGGTGCTATGTGTGCGCTATCTTCCCCCATCGTGTTTTTTTTTTTTATATTTTAAATGTACCATTATGTAATTAGTGTCTCATAGGCCAACTGGCCGGGTGCTGTTTTTTTAATGAAATGTTTATATGTCTATATACTTTGTACTGCAGCATGTGACACTCTAATAAAACAATTTTCTTCTTCTTCTTCTTCATATTGCAGCTGAATGAAATACTGGGTAAAATGGCAACAAAAATAACCAATATCACATGATGTCTTAATTGATTTTATTCCGGTACAACACATATTCTGCACATGCACAGAGTGTCAGTTTGTGGCATAGAAAAATAGCTAGAAATTATCTCCTATATCTGCATGTAACTTTTAAGCACATTTCAAGTGTAGGTCATTTGCAGCAATGATGCATCACAGCAACCATCCATACATCAGTCTCTCTACACATCCCTGACAACACAACAGCATTCATTATACATACTCCTAAAACCAGTGCCGGTGGCACATTCCCTCAACAGTATACATCATGCCAGCTTAATCTTAAAACTAAGACTAGCATAAATCAAAGTTGGAGACTGGTCTCAATTTGAGCTTTCCCTTACAATGCATCCTGTCTAAACCATTCCTGTGGACCAAAACTATATATCTTAGAGGTTTTGCAGCTTCAGAAACTATGGAAAACGCAAAAATATGTTGACTCAGCACCAGAAGTCCACTGCTCACTAAACATGCTGGTTGTCCTGAAAGAAAATGTCTTGATATTTTTTTCATCTCTTTTATGAAAGAAGATAATTTGTCTTGAAGGACGGAACGGCAATAGTATCCTGTTTCTAGCAAAGATCCCAGTTTCCATCAGAATATTAAATGTTTGGTTCCTAAGGCCTGTTTAGACAGATCATGAGAATGTTCATGATATAGCAATATAGTGTGTGAGTGAGTGAGTTGTGTTTAACGCCGCTTTTAACAGTATTCCAGTTATATCGCGGCGTGTCAGCTTAATGTGGGAGGAAAGCCCGAAGTGACGCAGGTCTCAGACGTTTACCACTTCGGTGAAACCCACGAGCACGGGTATGGTGCTGACAAACCTAGAAACATAATTGGGGCGAACCGGGATTCGAACTCGCCCTAGGGACAATATAATAATGTAGCATTCTGCAGAGGTGAAGACTTACTGGTTTAGACAGAGTGCATGTATTCTTGTTACCGAGATGAACGCCCAATGAAGTACACCTTGTATTACCAGTCAGAACACACATCGTGTATTACAGCACACAACAGGTCTTGTTCAATTTTTTTTTGCATAGCAACATTCTGTATTTTACGAATCCGTGTGCAAACATTAAATTAGATCCTGAATACAACCACACAAAATAGTTATTGTACCATGTTAGAAACCTTTTAGTTAAATCCACCTATACTATTGCTTGATTACTAGGGTCAGTTTGGCCGATGGTTCACCTCCTAGATCTGTCTCCATGACATTTACACACACTGTATGTACACATTTGATCTGAAGTATGAAAAACAACCAGTGAATGGAATGTATGATATCACAAATGCTTCAAAAAACCATACCTGGTATCCACTCATACAATATTACAAGACTTTTGGCAGAAGCCGGACATACAGAGAGACCTCCCAGATGTGTAGCCAGCTTACTTGTGTGAGTGAGTGAGTGAGTGAGTGAGTGAGTGAGTGAGTGAGTGAGTGAGTGAGTGAGTGAGTGAGTGAGTGAGTGAGTGAGTTGGGTTCAACGCCGCTTTTAACATTATTCCAGTTATATCACGGCGTGTCAGCTTTATGTGGGAGGAAAGTCCGAAGTGATGCAGGTCTCAGATGTCTACCACTTCGGTGAAACCCACGAGCACGGGTATGGTGCTGAAAAACATAATCGGGGCGAACCGGAATTCAAACCCACAATCATAGGTTTCTGGCGTGCCCAAGAGACGCAACTCTGCACGGTGAAACGCTGCGCCTTGGACAACTGGGCCACCTGTGCCCCCACCAAGCTTACAAGAATGAGGGAGTGAGTTGGGTTTAACGCTGTTTTTAACAGTATTCCAGTTGAATCACAGCGTGTCAGCTTAGGACCTGTAGGAGGACATACCGAAGTGATGCAGGTACTTGATGTTTACTTCGGTGAAAACCACGAGCACGGGTATGGTGCTGACAAACCTAGAAACATAACCCACAATCAGAGGTTTCTGGCATGCCCAAGGGACGCAACTAGGCACAGATACTTGCACCGCCTTGGACCACTTGGCCACCCGTGCCTCCACAAGAGTCAGGAATATTTCAAGACACTTTCGGGGATGAAACACCGAGAATGGGGAAAAAGGACATCACATTTTATTTCTATCTCCAGTGGAAACTAAGGCAAACCATTTGACTTACTTACCAAAATAACTGAAATCAATTCAGGAAATAAAATCCTGTACATTATATCTATTTTATACCTGAATTGGAAGTGGTTCTTGTGCAGTGGTGCCCTGTTTCATCCAACACCTGTCAATTTTCAAGGAAGGTGGAGTAACAAGGTTTTACTGTATACAAAACCAGAGGGAACACTGAACAGTGCAGTCCACGCCAGTTGGGCATGGATACAGCTTCAAGGTGGAGTAACAAGGTTTTACTGTATGCAAAACCAGAGAGAACATTGAACAGTGCAGTCCACGCCAGTTAGGCAGTGACCATCAAAGAGTGGATACAGCTGCTCAAGGAGCATTTGAAGTTTTGGCAATTTATGTTTTGTTATCATGTAATTTTGTTGAATATCTATCATCAAGTGAGTTTGGGTATTCTGAAAGTACAGGACTTTTGCAATCATCTGAATGTATCAATGTTGAGTACGTATCAGAAGGGATGGGGTGGGGTGGTAGGTGGCAGGGGGAGGGTGTGGGTGTGTTTTCGTGGTGGGTGGGTGTGGGTGTGGGTGCACATGCCTGCTGTGGATCTGCACATGTAAGATGGACAGAGACCACATGTCTTGTACTCCATGCATTAGCTACTTCGTCTGTGTGCTCTGCTGGGAGGTCTGTGTGCAGGACAATCACATGAAACATGGACAAGCTTGCTAACACATCAACTAAACACAATTTCATTGCAAAAACACTGAGTATTTTCATTAAGCATTTGTTACACACATTGGAACAAACTTAAAGAACAATGTTCACATTGTCGCTAGAACATTATACATCATACAGATAGTCAGCTTTTCTGACTGAGTGAAATTTAGCATTTAGCATACAAAGTGTATGCTTGTTAATTATAAATCATGTTTGATTTGACCTACTGAAAATACTGTTATGTGAATAGGTACTAAAAATTGTGCATAAACAGTTTTCTTGATAAACGTTTTGAAATATAAATATATATTCTCTGTATTACTTTGCATTCCTACTGACATATCAGATAACATCTACTTCACAGTCCTATCACACCTCTCACAAGGACTTTTAGTCTTAAACCCTCACAAAGGAGGGTTTGGTTTTGTTCAACTAAGAATATTGAAATAAGTTCACTAAACACTTACGTAATGAAAAATCAATGAGGTGGTCGAACAATACCCTCATCGGGTGTAGACATTTGTATATTACCTAGCCAGGTGTCTCTATAATATAGGATCACTCAAATCTTGTCTTGAGATTCTCATTAACCTCTTTCAAATGTAAACAAGATAATTGACACATACCTGTACCAAAAGGATACCTCATCCTCAGGTTAACAAAATCTATCCTTTATCCGCACATGTGGAGAATGTAGTGTAAATATATCAAACATTATCAACACAAACATTAGGACACAAGTGATATTCATCTTTCAGACTTGTTTCTCCTGTCAATACACAAATAAAAAAA